AAGAGGCTTGAAACAACAGGGGTTTTGCTGGGGGCTTGTAGCCTGTCAGCAGAGCTCCCATGCTGACTCCAGGACCATCACAGGGCTGGCTAGGCAAAGGGGAGGGAAAGTCAATCTTAAGACTCAGAAGCCTCCCTCTGTTACACAAGAATTAAAAAGAAGAAAGTTCTGTGGCTTGACACCCACTTTTGAAAAGCTTGTGTTCAGAAGATTAACCATTTGGCTTAAGTGCTGACTCTCATCATACCCTGCAAAACTAAGTTACGTAAGAGAAATTGTGATGAGTTTTACAGCAAGATCCAACTTTGTAAGGTCAGAAAGATGTAACATGAATAAATTTAAATGCTCTCTGTCTTAGCAATTTCTAGAAGTTAGATTAATTAATTCTACAAAATTTGCAGATGGCCATATGTGTTTCTACTAAACTTGTTTTTTCAGCAATTATCATAATGATTCATCTAGATATTTTCACAGCAGGACTCTGCAAAAGTGTTTTTAATTTTTTTGATAGTAAATACCATTTCTCAGTCTAAGAGGAAAACTCTACATTTCCAACAATTCTAACTTACCAAGCATTTTATCTCAGCCACGATGAATAGCTGTCCAGGCTATAAAATTGTAAACTGATAATTATACAAAAAGCAACCAAGTAGTTTTCACCTACTTTGATGTATTATTTACATACTCACAATATAATCAATACCATTTTTTTTTCCCTAGATTTTACTTCAGGTTTTGTTTATGTGGGCCATTTATAACTGAATATATACTGTCTTTTTTCCTGACCTAGGAAAAGGCGAGTTCCTTTGGTAAATTAGTTACAAAGCCATATTCTCTCAATTAATGCTCATAGTTTTACTGTAATGTTGATGCCAGTATTGTTTAATAGGAATTCCTGGTTAAGAAAAAATTAAAGATAAAATCTGAATTTCAGCAAAGGTGCTTTATTATCACAGGTCATTTGCTTCCTCACAGAAAGTCACGTTATAATTATGGCACACTAATTGCTGTACAGCAGCATCAGTACATCGCTTGAAGCAACGTGACAGTGGCATTCACAAAGATGGCACGATGCTGTCAACAACCTGAGTCAGCGCAAAGGCATGGCAAGGTCATGGAGGAGGAAGCATCTTCATCAAATTTCAAGCTACTCGGCAAAACTTAGGCATGTAAACCACACAAAAAACAGCAGGAGGGAGTCTTCACTCATACTCTTCAGTTCCATGAGGAATTAAGGTGATCTCACTAGACTGGCTCTTCCCATTTGACTAAGTGGAGATGACCATCACCCTTCACGAAGCAGGTTCATGAGCCAAGGCTGATCCAGCTGTTCTGCACGAGGCAGGCGATGCAGAGCCTCTAGGGCAGCAGGGAACGTGCTTCTCTCAACTATTCCTTGGCCTCCTTGCTCACAGGAGTCAAGTGCGCACAAAGTGGCGGGTGAAAAAGAACTGCGTAACCACTCACTGTTGGGATGCTCACCACCACAGGAAAACACCGCAAAAGCCAGAAAAATCTCCAACTCCTTCAGTCTGTAAAGAGCCAAACTTCCCTTTGGTAGGCCTGAGACATCATGCTTGCTTGAAAGGCAGCAGAGATTCTCTTCTGAGTAGTTACTAACACTGTGGCAGCAAATGTCACCACCCCTTGTAACATTTAATCCTAATATACAACACTTCAGCCTGAAGTTTCACTTGAACACCATAATCAAGCATCTGCATTAACTTCCCACCCAGTTACAACTCAATTCTAACAAACCATTGTATCTAAACTTTTGCTGATTCCAATAAAAACAAGCATAAAAGCCAAGTTTAAAAACTCACGTCTTAAGTTAACAGCAATGCTTTGAAAACTTGGGACAAACTATTTGTCCTGTGGCTTCAGGCTGTGCATATAGCTAACAAAAACACGGGAGAACGGCAATCAAAACTAATCAGGCAGTAATAAAAGAAATGTTTAAATACTCCCATTTTTTTAAAAAAAAATCTATAATTTAAAATCTTTTGATTGTGCTATGAGCTTTGGATCAAGCCCAAACCAAAGTGAAGTATGGGCAGTTATGTATCCATAGAGATAAAAGCTGCAGCAACCAGCAGTCAGTGTTATGTTTCAAGCCAGTGAGAAAAAGTTAAATGCATACAACAAAAAAATGAATCTATGGGTTTTCCTTATTTTAGTCTTCTTTTCCTAAATTAGGCATGCAATGTCCATGTTTTCTGAACAAAATAGTTCCAGAACACATTATTAAAATACCTCACAAATCTCACAGATATTTGAAGGAGCAAATAGTTCTACTGTTGCAAATAAAATGGAAGAAAAAGATTTTACATAGAAGCTACTAGAAGAAAGTTACTGAATACGATACTCAAATATATTCCATAGCTCTTCATCCCAGGTAACTCTTTTAGAAAAATTAACTCCCAAGGCACCTTCGTCCTGCTACTACTAACCTCCTTTTCAAAGCACCTGCACTTCTACTCCCTTTATCTGTGTCCTTCATTTCTCTCTTCACTCAGGCCAGTATCAACACTCATGGAATTTCTTCTCTAAGATACAAAATCAAGTAAGTTGAAAAAACATCTTCCTAATTCAAGCTGTCAAAATTTGATGACTGTACTAATTATCTTTTCACATTTAGTCTGAATAGAACTCTGATTATATATTTTAAAAAACCTGAAACCTACAGAACAGTTATTTTGTCTCACTGATAAGGTTTCACTCTAATGTTTCTAAATGATTAAAATCAGAATTGCTATTAGAGCTGTACCTTTTATATCATTTAGCAAAAAGTTACAGTAAGGGATACAGTTTACCTTTTAAAAGTTAACAAGCTTTATGATGAAGCCTTTATGCTATTTGCTTGCTCTCCCTTTCAGATTAGAAGATACTATTTGTGACCTACTTCCAGGCTTTTCTTGGACACTTTACCTACTATGCTCCAAAACCATCTCCTTACTAGGATTTTGTTTTGTAACAGCTCTAAGTAAAATTTGGTCAATCTATTTCCCAGACCTGCGTGCCAAGTTCTGCAGCCTGTAAGTCGGATCCAGCTCACCCAGTCTCTCTCACATGACTTAGGTCAAGGTTAGGTAACGAACCATCTGCTTAAGCAAGTCAGCACAACGGGGTATGCAGCATTAACTAAACAAGCTATTTCAGGCAAGATACGCCAGCTCATAGGCCACCCCCCATTTAATTTCCCTTCAGATGTACAAAAAACCCTCCCTGTAAGTGAAAATGGGATCTAAAAATAAGCCTGTATGAAAAAAACCTTGTATGCATGAATTATCTGAAACACTAAGCTCTTCACAAAGGCACAAAACCTTTCTGCGCTGAATTCTTTATCAATTTCTAGTCATTGTATATTCCTAAGAACCAAATTCTAATTTATTAACACAATCCAGTAAAATTAACATATTTTAATTTTATAATTATCAAACTTTAATTTATACAAGCAATAGATTTTTATTTCCTCTCCAACTAAAATATATCTGTCATCCTTAACACTCAGGTTCAATTAGTAACAGTTAAGTTACAAAAACAAAAAAAAACAACAGAAAGCAACATTTCACTATGATTTTTTTAACATGAGAACCAAATATGCTAATCAAGGAACAACTGGGTTGCACTTTATTTCAAAGATTATTTATAACATTACACTAGCATATATTCATAGCACATTTAAAAATAGAACAAGTAGACATTAAATTTCTGTGTATTGGATTTAAAACTTTTATCATGTGAAAAACTATATTCTGTACAATCTATATTCTAAATCTCTTAGTGTGTAGGTCTCAAAGATAAAAAATAACAGAAGATATCGGTAGCTCCACAAAATAAGAAAGTCATATAATTAAGTAGTGATCATAAACCAGCTGTATTTAAACACAGAGCTATGATCTGAGGATCCGTCAGTTAAAAATAGTTCGAAGTATTTTAAGATGACCCTCACTAGACTAGCTCTTAGTATTTTAATTTAAATGCTGCACACTGACAAGAACAAAAATATTTCTTAACATTACAAGTGAATTAAAAAAAAGGAAAGCATTTTCATAGAGAAGAGTTTAATCTTTTCTTATGAAAAAGAGAGACAAACAAACAGAAGTACTGCAAAGTCTTAGCAGATAAATGAGTATGGATAATGTTAAATGTTAAAAAAAAAAAAAACAAACCCATGAAAAATACCAAACAATGACCAGCTTTGTGTGTAGGGGATCAATTATAAAACAAGACTGCTCCTTTCATGAAGGGCATAAGGTACATAAAATCTCTTTCATTTCCACCGAGTTCTCTTTTAAGCAATGAAATTAATGTATATTTTATATCCAGAGGGATTTTTGTGGAAAAAACCCCAGATAGCTAAAACCAGTTTACTGAAGCCAATTTATAAATCTAAACCAGAAAAAAATAAATGGGGAGACAGGAATTATATATCACAACAGACAGACTTAGAAAGTAGCAGTAGCAAGTGTAAGGTGAAATATTGCAGCAGCGGGTTTACACGTCATCACTGAATTATGCCACAACCAAAGTTACAGAAATAATAACTTTAATCTTACATAATACTTTCAAGAAGCCAAAATCTCAGATATAACACAGATGTATATAATATTTTAAAAATCATTTACTTATTTACAAATTTTATATACTGGATTAGTCTTTACACAACTGTATTTGCATAAACTTCAGTAGCAGAGTCCTGCCAAAGTGAAGTGAAGGAATGTCATATAAATAAAGCTCTGTATGACTTAAGCTTTCCTACATCACGCCTGTGAATTAAGGTTACAGAGTATATACATTGTCCTCTCAATATTCGTTTTTACATACAAAAATTCATTTAAGGAAAATAATTTTTAAAATGTTAAAGCGTATGTAGACTCTGACAGCAGAAAAATCTAAACACTGTCATATGATTACATCCTGGAATTTTTTACATTACCTTACAGGTCTTTAAAGCAAGGAAGCAGGAAATGTTTGCACCTACAGTGCTGTCTATTTCACTAATACATAAAAATTTCCTGTCTTTTCACAATATTTATACGACACAAAGGGCATTCATTAAGTGCTTCAGCACATTCCTTACAGGCAACTAGGTGACCACAGGGAATGAAGACAACTGACAGGTCTTTAGCCATACAGATCTTGCAAAGCTTTTCTTCCTGCAAGCGCCGTAACTTCTCCTCAGTACTGAGATCTAAGGAAAATAAACACATAAAAAAAGTTAACATCCCTACTACTACTGAATCTTTTTTTTCTTCCCTCTTTACAGACAAGGACAAGGTTTTCTTCATATGATTTAAAGATCACACCTTTAAAAAGAAAGAAAATTACAAGAGATAGGAAACCACGCTGCTATCTCATTACATCTCCCAGACCAGAGTAAGCAGAGAATTCAGCTATCTATATATGCAAGAGCTTGAAATATCTGTAGAATTTAGGATATGCATATTCAATCCGGAACCATTCTCTTCACAGCCTTCCTACTGACAACTTTCCCGAAATATGTAGAGAAGGTGAAAAAAAGGCTCACTGATATTGGTTAAGTAATTTGGATTTTGCTGTTTGTTTGTTGGGTTTGGGGTTTTTTTTTCGTATTTTTTTCCCCCAAAGAATTTCCTCAATGAAAAGAACAAGGATGTGATTTTCTTCCCAGCACCCATTTTCAAAATGCCTATACTTCAAAAGCTTAAAAATCTGCAATACAGAAAGAATCCATTTTGCATTGCACATAAGCAATTTGTTATTCCAGTATGCCCCATTTGAAAATACAAACTTCTAACACCTTCCCCTGTTATTTGGGGAAAGCTCTGCACAGCCAACCAGGGAAATAACATCCATCTTACTTCAAGTTCTTTTCCCCCCATAATATCCATTAAAAATTTTATTAATATAGTGGGCTGGTAAGATCTTTGCCTATCATGCCAAACAGATGGTCTTTTCCCTCCCTAGGAATTCATTCACTCATATGCTTGTCTGAAATTGCAAGTCTCCTGACTTGTTTTTTTCAAAAATAAATCTCTTGAATTTTAAGTTGCAATATTGTAACTTCACCTTAAGTAAGACTTGGATCAGAGGGTACAATAAACAGGTAACAATAAGATATATTTCACAAACTAAAGAGCAGATATGAAAGTACACACAAAGGTTTTGTAATTGAATAAGGTCATCTCGCTCAACTGGGATTTCATTTGGTCCTTCTTCCCTTGTATTTTCTTTCTGAGCACTTAAGTCTGCTACCAGATCCTCAACAGATGTGTGACTTTCTCCAGACATCTGCAATCTGTTTTCCATGGTGTTCCTAATCTCAGACAAACTGAAACCCATGTTTATGGCACTTTGTACCACAGGATTCTGTAAGAGATCATCTAAAACAAGAAATTAGAAACAAAACACAAAACAGTAATTTAACAAGAATGAATCTGATGAATCAGACAGTATTCACTACACTATTCTAAGTCACCTTCACAAATACCTAGCCAAAGGAACCATACTTCCAATTTGAGAATTTTGCTAGTTGTAAAAACTGCATTGTCACAACACCCAAAACTACATACTTGAGACGTCTTTTATCCTAGCCTTCCTAGTCTCCCTTCATCCATTTATAATATAGAAACCCTCCTAGATTTGCTATTCAAATCAAGTACTTCAACTTGTTAAATAAAATGTTTTATATAATTACCATTGAAAATTCCATAACTGAAATTCATCCAAAATTCCAAGGCACAACTGATACCAAAGTATTTGGTAACATTACATTAACTTTAGTTCAAGGAAGGGAAAAAAAAAAAAGAAATCATAAATATGTTGAGAGAAACCAGTAAGTAATTTGAACTTACAAAACCAAAACACAGCACAATCAGCAATCAAGTAAACCTATCCACGGTAAGTCACAATCCTACTTTGGGAAATTATTTTTCAGTTCCTCTTTTCAATGTATTTTTTCAAACAGATTTCTTAGAAGAACAGAAATAAGACACACGGCTATTACATGTCACTGACTAATTTCCTCTTAACAAGACTGTTCAAAGAGTAAAATTTTTAACCTACTTTTCACCCTCACAAATGAGCAGCATAGATTTCCGAAACAGGTTTTGTGTAATCACTCTTGTTAGCAACAGTTATCACTCCCTGAGATGAAGCTGCTTGACCATCTTCCTACTGCCGCTTTAACTGCCTTGTCTTTTTATTGCTTGGTATTTGCGAAAAGCATTGCAAGAATGTGCAATACTGGAATGCAGAACAAGCTGTTTAAGCTTTCTCAGCTTCCTAGTCCTTGCCATTTAACAGACCAACTCTTCCTGCCTCATGAAAAGCAACTGTGGTTGTTTCAGTTCCGTATTCTTTAACATTCATCCCACAGCACTACTAACTGAGTACCTGATGCAAACTTAGTAGCTATAAAAGACTGCATCCTCTATGTACTTCTTTTCATGGTTTACAATCTTTACTTTACAATATTTATCCAACCATGATCAGACTTCCTCTAAGAGAAATAAAATTAATTCTGCAGTTCTTTAGAAGCCATGAAGCAACAGAAGAGTATCATCCAACAATTTGCCTGTCCTGCTTTATTTAAAAATGTAATAGGGCTATTTTTAACATTAACCATCTCCTTTGCTACACATGCGAATACGAAAATTCCAAAATGGGGGGTGGTGGTGTTTGTTTTGCTTTTTAAACAGATACCTTTATGAAGTATCGTCCCTTCAGCAGCTTCTGTCTGAAAGCGAAATACAAACAGACAAAATTACAATTCTGGTGAAGGTAGAAGGAAATCCATACAGTTACATGGCCCAAAATAGCTCTATGATCTCAGTTCTTTTATTGATTAAAGCTGAATCTGCTCTGAACAACAGAAAAGGGATCAGTGTTTTGTTATATTTCCCATAGTTTTAAATTTTGATTTTAACCCATCTTGGCTATAATCACATGTACATGATTCTTTGCCTATCAAAGAATTCTAAAACAGCATTGAGATTGCATACATGTTTAACAATGCTCTACCAACAAGAAAATTATCTATTACACTTGAGTAAGGAAATTAATCATTGTAAACCCTAGGTCCCCAGGCTATTAAAAAATCAGCACTTGTTCAGTACCAAATATACAACCTGTACAAGGAACCTTACTGTGATCCATAACCCAGCTAAGGAGAACTGCGATCTGTAAACCCTGGCTGACACAACCAAAACATACTTTCATGTCTTTTACTTTCTGCCAGCGAAGGAAGCAGCAGGAGGACTAAATGATACACGGGTGACTAGGAGAGTAACTTCATATGAAAATCATGTTAAGACTGTTTTCTATTTTAACAAAATGATATTTTATTAATAAGAAGACACTTACTGTTGAATCCCTACATCCATCTCTTAAGTGAACATTATTTATAAATTCTATCCCTTTTTCCTTTCTCACAAATCTGCACCTATAAATGAAAATATTTCATTATAATAAAACCACATAGGCAGCAAACAAAAATTGACTACTTAACTTTGGAAAGCTTTGATACATTTCCCACATCATACAGAATGCTTGCTTCTGAAATCTCTAAATGTTTACTCAACATCAGTAATGCCATTAAAACTTTTCTAAAATATCTTGATCACTTCAGAAGTACTTTTCCATATTTTTGGTGAAACAGAAACCTAAGACTTGTTGGCCACAATAGCTGATGACAGAGGTTTATAAAAATAAAGACTCTAATGAAAAGCAAACATGTTAAGACATTGGTTCTTCTAGTCTTTTGCAATCAAAGCAAACCAGCCACTAGTCAGGCAGGTGCCCTGCATGCTTCCTTTCACTGTTTTTCAACCAGCCTTAGCCCCTGGGCAGAGCTCTTCCCTAGCAGAAGACTCGGGGAATGCCATAACTCCTGGACAATAGTTCTATAGCTTCAGCAGTTTTTTCACCTTCCTGGTGTCCTGCTAACAGACACAGCGTGCTGAGAGCCTGAAACGTTGCCACTGAAGCTGGTGGGCAAGCAAAAGCTCCATATGAGACAGCCGATGATCTGAGACAAAATCATCAAATCTGACATAATTTAAGGGACTCACACCAAAAGCAAATCCATAGGAAGAGGAGTGAAATGTAGTACGAAAAAGTGTCCTAACTATCCACTGCACCAAGCCCAAAACTTGGAGTGGCAGAGACTAATAATTAAAAGCTGCCTGTACCACTACTGAGAAATGGATCCAGTAATGCATGCATCCTAACTCCCAGCTTCCAGAGAGCCTTTCACCACAGAAGACAAACTGGGTAGCTAACACATAAAAGATGTACTTGGATAGCTTTTATTCACCTGTAAGAAAATGAGTGATATACTCTTCTTCCTTTCCTTGAGACAGATTTTAGACAAAATTGGCAATCTTCCTAAAAACTGCTTCTGGGTTTGGATTCTTCAATCCTTTAAAACTGCGCATAAGTGTGTTTTGAATTCAGTACCTCTACTGACTGCTTCAGGTTTGTTTGCATCATGACAGAAGTTTAGTCAGTTTGCATTCTGACTTAAGTTAGAAAACTCTGGCAAGTATGAAGCTAGTAAAGTAACAATTAGAATGTAGTGCTTGTATAATGAGAAAAAAAAATCAGATACATATTCACAAAACTTCATGATTCTGCTAGCTGAGACATCAGTTAAGCCCAGACACAGAACTCTTCCCTTTCATAATTCCTACAACAAGCCGACACACAAACAACACTGACTTAAAAGTGAAGTTATTCAGAAGGTACCATTTCAGGGCACCCTTTCAGACGGATCATCTCTAATGAGCTGTCTGTGCCCTTGGCCTCTTGAGATTTAGCTCTCTCCCACACACTCCCACCTCTCAAAGAAGACATTAGGTTAATGTCCCCTTTTGAGGCCTCCAATATAATATTAAAGCAGATGCAGATGACTACACATATAATTGCAGGACTACCAAAGGTAGAACAGACGGAACAACAAAAATAAGGACCTCATGCAAAATTTTCCTTAAGCTCTTTTCTACTTATTGAAAAGGAAAAATATAAACCATGGATGATAATTGATATTCCTTTGGCAAAAATGGCAAAAATGAAGGCGAAGGAAGTAGAGGAGGGCAAAATCAAAAAGTTATATTCATAAATCTAAACATTGTTAAGCCATAGTCAACCTTCTGAAATCTTCACTAGTATGCTCTGTAATTGAAACATAATATACTATAAATAAGAGTCAGACATGCAACAAGAAAAGAGTAAAAAAATACATTACCCAGGAAACCATTTAGCATGTTGATCCCATGGGTCTTCATTTTCCTTCCATTCTTGCAATCCTCCACCACAGTGGAAACATACAACATGATCACCATTACCTGGGGAGACACACAAGAATAAAGTTACATACTACAACTGGTAGCCATACCAGTAAGTTTTCAACTAAAAGTTACATTATTAAGAAAAAAGTATTTATTTTATTGATTAGCAATTCTAACTACAGAGAACTCAATTTTAAAAGAGGACATAATACATACGGTTTGAAACAAATGTCAAGGAGAGGCTTGATCTTAGAATCACAAAGTAAGCATCACGTGAAGCATTCCTGAGTTTTATGTTAGTCAGTGATTACACATATAAAAAGCAAAAGCTAAAAATGATCTGTTATCGAATAGCTCAATTCACTGGTAAACAAGCCATGAAGTAATCCACCACAAAGCTTAAGGATGTTTACGTGCCTTCTTGGTTCTCCCTTTCACCATTAAGATTAATGGGCTATATACAGCACTTGCGTAATCGACTGAGAAGACGTGAGGATAAACTGCATTCTTTCTGCTCTAGCACCATGCCTACTGCCATCACAGATCACACCATAAGCTGTTTAGATGTTGCGCTTATTGAAACGAGCAGACGTATGGACTGATTTTTTCCGACAGAGGTAGATCTTTCTCAGGCCACAGGAAACAGTTTTTGCAGAGGTCACTTCAACAGCCATCAGGTTCGATAAGCTGGTGCCCGTTAGGTGCACCTCCACAACACAGATCTCGCTTGGCTGGGACAAGATAGGTGCTTTTAGGAATTCAAGGAGAAATCATTAAGAACAGTTCTACAGGAGACATCACTCATACAAGAATATATCAAAGTTTTCATTTATGGTCACAAGTAAAACAAACGGAATCAGATTAAAAGAGCTACCAAGAGAGAAGCCAATTAAGACAAGAGCAAGAAATTATCCTGGATAATCCCCTTTCCTCTGTAGCCTAATAATAGCCACACTTTGCACTCGTACAGCATCTCTCAGTGAAGAATTTCTAAGAGCTTTAAGGGCACTGTGCAATTCAGTCTAACTGGGAAACCAATGCACAGAGATGTTGGAGTCTTATCCAAGTCAAACACTACATGTTCAAGCGTAAAAGCTCATAGTCTTTGTAAAGCTTTTACAGTAGGTAGTAATGGTATTTGCTAGTTTTGGGTCTCCCAGTGCTATGAAAATGCAAATACCTGTTAGCTAAATAAAATGGCACATGACCTACATTGTCCTGCTCACAGGCTTCTGTACGGGCCACAGGCCCTCTCCTTAGATCTAAAGTAGGTATCTGGAGGACAGGACCTCATTTATTTTTAAAAAAACCCAAACCATTAATAATTGTCATTGTGAAAGACCAAGGAAGGTTTTTTTGCATGCAAGGAAAGTACACTTTGATGCTTTACTTCCAAAAATTAAATTTATGACCAGGTTTATACTTTACTATTAAAAGTGTTTGATATAGTGTATGTCATTTTACACAAGAACTCCGAAAAGTAGTTTACAGACTAAAAAAATTTTGGCAAATCACTCCATATTAGAATAACAAAAT